AATTTCTCCTTTCCTGCAGGTACGAAACCGGGTGGCTGACGCATATGAATTTCCTCCTCCAAATTGCCGTATAGATAGGCCGTCTTCACATCCAGGTGTTTGAGCGACATGTTTCGATGAGCGGCCACAGCCAGAAGCGTACGAAGTGTTGCTTGTCTTGCAACGGGTGCAAAGACTTCATCGTAGTCGTACCCGTAACGTTGGCTAAATCCCTGCGCCACTAATCTCGCCTTGTATTTAACAACCTCCCCAGAAGCGTTCCGTTTAAGCTTAAATACCCACCTGCAACCAACGACCTTCTTCTTCTCTGGCGGCTCGACCAACTCCCAGGTCTGGTTTGCATGGTGCGAACTAATTTCACTGTTCATTGCTTCCATCCACAGATCTTTGTCCGATCTCGTCATAGCGTCCTCAAAACTTGCTGGCTCGACTTCATCCGACTTGGCCAGTTTCGTTTCATAGCAAAAACGCGCCGGTGGAATTCCTTTGTTGTTTCGAGATGATCGTCGTGGGAATCCCACGAAATCCTCCTCCTCACTTGACGCACCGTCATATGATGATTCTACGTCCTCCACGATGTCATTTCCCGCAAGATCCAACATGGACTGATCCTCCTGAGAAAGGTTCCGTTCCTGAAACATGTTCCCTTCATCCAAGCTCACTTCCATTCCAGAGGGATTTGTTCGTGACTCCCGAACCAACTCGTTAGCAACTTCAGTGTCGCGAACTTAGCGTCTCGACTGACATGGATTGTGTCCTTGCTTTGGTCCAAGAATCGAAATCCTTTTCGATGTTCGTCGTACCCGACAAAAGTCATTCGTACAGCCTTAACATCACACTTTTGGCGCTTCTCTTTGGGTACGTACACCAGGGCCTCGCAGCCAAATACATGTAAATGCTTATAATTTGGCAACTTACCCGTCCACAGCTCGTATGGCGTTCTAGGGATGGGGGCAGAGGGAAGCCGGTTTTGCAAAAAATTCGCCGTCATCACCGCCTCGCCCCAGTACCTCTTGTCCATTCCAGCCTCGGCTAGCAAGCAGCGCATCATTTCTGTCAAACTCCGGTTCTTTCTCTCAGCAACTCCGTTCTGCTGAGGACTGTATGGTACTGTCTGCTGGAGAATGATTCCGTTGTCCTTCAAAAAACGCTGTAGCGACTGCCCCGATTACTCCCCACCATTGTCCGCTCGAATAATCTTGGGCTTCTTTCCAAACTGGTTGTACACAAGATTCACAAACTCCTTGATCCTTTCTTCTGCTTCACTTTTCTGTTTCAACAGGTACACTGTGGTGAAACGAGAGAAATCGTCGATCATGGTCATTATAAAGCGATTTCCTCGTGGGGTGGGCACTTCCAGCGGTCCACATAGATCGGTGTGCACCAGATCTAAAACAGCCTTTGTTTTTGTTTCGGATGCTGGAAACGATGCTCTGCTCATTTTTCCTTCGCAGCAGACTTTGCAAACCGATCGGATTCCACAATCAACTAAATCCAGATTCGTTCCCAATTCCTCTCGTACGATGCGTTCGATAGCTCCGGGTTCGCGATGGCCAAACTTGCGGTGCCACATGTGCTGACAGTTGTCTTGATGTTGAACCGCAGCCAACATAGCCTTCCCATGTTCCTTTAGTTGGTATAAACTTGCCTTTCGTTCTCCAACAGCGATGACATCACCATTTTTGACCACTTTGCACCCAGCTTTGTTGAAAATAATAACACAACCTTCATCCACCATCCTACTGACCGAAAGCAGATTTCCCTTTAGAGATGGCACATGCAGAACTCCTTTGACCAGAATCTTCCGAGGATTTCCTTCTCCATCGACGGTAGTCAACCGTGCATCGCCAGATCCGCTCCATGAAACCTTACTTCCATCCGCCAGCGTAATCGACGCACCAACACTTGACACCGTTGTCTTGAAATTCGAAATATCGCTCGCCATATGGGACGTGGCTCCCGAATCCAGATACCACGTAGTACCACCACTCTGACTTCCACTGATAAAACAAAATTCTTCGCTTTCTTCGTCTTCTTTCACCAGCTTCGCCTTCTGGTATTTTTCCTTCCGCTCCTTCTCCTTACGATCCTCCGCCAGCTTCCAGCAATCCTTACGAAAATGCCCTTCCATCTTACAATAATGGCACGTTTTCTTCGTTTCCGGCTTTCCAGAAAATTTTCCGCCGTCCACTTTCAAAGCTTTGTTTTGATGAGCTGCAAGTTCGTTCCGCCTCCTCCACTCATCCAAGAGCTTTCCTTTGACGTACTCCAAATCCAACTCATCGTCCAGTGCGACAATTAAGCCATCGTAAGACTGTGGCAAACTGGACAATAATATTGCCGCCGGCCAGATTCCGTTCAACGATTCACCCATCGCCTCTAAACGTTGTGATAACTCCATCACGCGTGCAATGTGATCCGCCATGTTTCCACCTTCCTCAAGCTGCAAGCGTAGCAGCTGCCGCAGCACATGAATTTTGTTCACCAATGACGACCGGTGGTGAAAACTTTCCAAAGCTGTCCACATTTCTTTCGCTGTCTGAGCTTTCATTACGTGCGTAAGCTGACTATTTTCCAATGCAAGTCCGATTATTGCACGAGCTTTTCCATCCTTTGCCAGCCAGACGGCATCCGGACGATCCGGCTTCTGGCAAGAAACCATCTCGTGCAACTCCTCCTTGATCAAAATCAGCTCCATGCGGAAACGCCACGTAGCATAGTTGGCGTCACCTAACTTTTCACTACGAATTTTGCGTCCGCCATCTTGAATGTTCTTTTCTCGCACTAGCACAATGAAAACGGGTAAACACACTATTTCAGACGGATACTGTTCAATCAAGCACTTTCACTACTTTCGCGCCGCAGATACCGTGACTGGGCCCATAACCTGTTGGCCACAACAACGAAATAAAACTCAGTTTTTAGCGAAAAACTATAGCATTAGTTTTATTGTGACCGCGTCGTTTAAAAGTTCACATACGAATGAAAAAAGCTTCTTCTCTACAAGCAGCCACGATGTTAGTGTAGACTTCTCGACTGCTACGGCAAGTCCAGTGATGCCGGTGGGATGAGGGGTGAGCCGATGTACGTTGTATCTCCAACACAGATAGCTTCAGAATAATCCCATTAACTTAAGCAAATTTGCAACGACTTACAAGGAGTTCCGTGGAATTATAGGTTATTCTAAGAATTCTATGATTGATCCTAAAATGTCAGAAGCGTCAGGGAATTATGAATATATATCAGAAAATTTGCTGGTTTATTAAACAAATTTAGAAAACAGGATAGAAAACAGATAAGTTCAGGGAAAAGCTAGTGTTGATAATGGTTATAATACTGAAGGAACATTTTCGAAACTTCAAGGCAAATTAATTGATTTCAGTAAAGTTGCGGGCTCTTAAAATATACTGATAAATTCAAGGCAGTCTAGAGAACTTTAAAGACATTCAGTAATCGTTTAGGCACCAGAAAAGTCTAGACTATTGAAGAAGTTTTAAATTAGTGTCGATAATTTAAGGGAAGTTTTATGAACTTCAGAAAATTCTGGAGAACTTCAGTGAAAATCATAGAACTATATTAATTATTTCGTTCTAATTCCATGAAAATTGCGAGAGCACAAAAATTCCATAAATTCTTGAAAACTTCGGAAACTTCACAAAAGGACAGTGGTCTTCAGAAACAAAAAAGATTATTTATTTTTTAAGTTTGTTTCTTACTGAAGATTAATCCACTGTGAATCTTTTAAGTTCAAAGTGTGAATGAAAATAACGAGAAAAATTAAATGGTTGTATTTTGAAATTTGTTATTTTCTTTAAAATATCCTTAGTAAGAATTTTTTTTATTCTTTGAGACTTCCAGTTATTTTAAGGAAACAAAAAAATTCCAGAGGATTCCCGGTTTTCCAGATTTTTGGAGTTAGTAGACACCGTGACTTATACCGTGGGTTTCATATCGTTCATAAGTGTTTATGAGATAATTATTTATTTGATGCACATTCGTTTAGGTCACTTTTTAGTTACTATTTTTACAACTATAAGTAACTATTTGGTCACTTATTCTTTCAACATGGTCACTAAAATCACTATTTCTGACAGCAATGATCGCTACCAGGCCTGATTATGTTGCTTTAGGAATGGTAGCAGCCACTTTTCCTGGACGTAGATCTCTTGAATGATGGTTCCCGTAGTAATGAAAATGCCGTTTTTTAGACCACACGTGCATATTTCTTCTTCTTCGCATTTCAAGCTTATTGCATATAGCATATTAGCTTATTTGTGTGCTCTCAAGCTTAGTGCACTTCCACAGTTATTAATTGAGAGCTTTCGATGCTTGTACCATTTTTGCATTGGTATAATTGTGTGGCAAGGCAAGTCCAATCATCTTTCTATGCCCAGGGAAGTTGAAAAATTTTCCAACCCGAAAAATTCCTAGACCGGACCGGGAATTGAACCCAGCCACCTCCAGCATGGTCTTGCTTTGTAGCTACGCCTGTACCAACTGAGCTAAGGGAGGCTTCTTCCTTCCTCACACATAAACCTCAAAACACACTCTAGCTGCTCCAACTACAGGGATCTCAGCAGAGAACTGCGTCCACTTTCCGTCACCAATCAAACGCGACACAACGACTTCAGTTCACCAGTACAAAGTCTAGAAAACGAGCACCAGCTCCTCACCGGTCAAATAAAACGCATCTAATAGCGGCCAAGGCACACTTCGATTACATTTCTGAAACACATCCTCAACGCACAAACACGAAGCGACGAAAACATTAAACAAGCGCCTTTTGTCCAGCATGCACCCAGCAAAGGGAAGAGAGAAAAATGCTCACATAGAGCACGGCACGAGCCGTTCATTGCCCTAACAAATTTGGACGATCGTTGAAGTTTTGAATATTTGTGTTTTGTTTCTAAATTACCAATACCCGATGCTACTGTTTAGCAAATTTTGATTTTTGGGTTGCTCTTTTTTTTCTCAAACCTTGATCTTTTCTATTATTATAGACCGACCCAACTCATCGGTTCCGGGACCGACTCGGACTGGCGTAGTTTCTTCAGCAATTCGTTCGAGGTCAACCAGAGCTTTCCTTGCGCTACAACCAGACGTCAGGAGCGTCGCCGTCGTCGTCACTGTCGGGATGACGACCGGCGCTATCTGCTGAACACACCGCTACGTGTCTACCGAGTTGTTCCATCAGCTGCCACCACCACCGGAAGAGGAAAGCATCAACGGTCCGGCTTCATGGATCGCGTTCGGGTAGATGGAGCCAACGGGCTACGGTTTACGGCATTCCGGCCGAAAGGATGCCTCTCGCATGGCGTCAATTCGCCGTATAACAATTCCTATGTGGCTTCGACTTCGGAGTCGATTGGGCGCCTACCGAAGAGTGGAATCAATCCGAACAAGGCCGTCTTTACGATCGATTCCAAGACGTCGCAGATTTTGATCGTAAACCGGAATGCGTGTGATCTGCTGGGTTACAGCTCCAAGCAGCTGTGCGAGATGCAGTTTGCCAGTTTGCTGCCCAACAAGAATAAGATGCATGTTTCTGCGCTGGCGGAGGGACAGCTCAATAGCGAAGATGGAACTGTGATCATACTGAGTGGAAAGGTTGTTGAGTTATGTACGAAATCTGGCGAGAATGTAGCCGTTTCCCTGTGGGTTAGGCAGATTGATAGCGAATCGAGATGTTTGGCTGTTGCCGAGCCGGTTGAGCGAAGAGTGGCTCAGCTGTTGGTGGACAAGACCGGATACATAATTTCCGGGGATTACGAGGCGTTGCTGCTGTTTCAGCTGGATTCAATTGAGAAATTCAGTGGTATGGATGTTACGCTGTTGATTCCGGCGATTCTGCTTCCGGATGCCGATAATAGTATGATTGCGAAGCACATTCGTAAGCAAAAAGCGACGGGCAAAACGGCAGAAGGGATGGCCTTTCCGCTTTGTCTGATGATCTCCCATCACGACTCGGGAACGGACACCAACGATAGTGGTTTATCGAATCCGAACCATCTGTACGTGATCACCATTTGGGTGTTCACCAACATCTCCGGGTTGATTGTGGTGGATGAAAATTCCGTGATCGAATCGTGCAATCACCACTTTTCGATGCTGATGTTTGGCTACCCGCAGCACAAGATCATCGGAGAGCATATTACGAAAATTTTGCCCAACTTTGGTCAGGAATGCGACTATTTGGGCTTCATGAATCGCAGTCGGAATGCCACGCTTTCGTCCCTGGACAATGACGAGTCGGAAACGGAGACGGATCATGTGGATTTCGAAAACAAAGAAGAGTTTATCCATAACGCGATCAATAGCATGAAGAGCAGTACGGATGTGATTTGCAGTCCGGTAAAGGAAACGAGGAAGGTAAGGAGATTCTATACCTAGGGTGGGGGTGAGCGTGGTATAACATTTTCGATTGATTTCAGATATGCTTGGACTTTACATCGACTTCCACCAGTAGCAATCGCAGTAGTGGGAACCAACCAGCCGAGGGCAATGAAGTAGTTGAGCAGGTGGATGCCGTCGTCGCTGACATATCGCTCAACCTGGTCTCTGAACCGAACGAATCCAGTGGCCTATTCAGTTCGATCATCGTTAGTTCCGTGCCGGAAAATCTGCTCTACCTGGAAAGTAATAGTGAGAACAACCGAAATTACGCCAACCTTTCCAATTCGGCCAGTTGCAATGCATTGAAATCGGTTGCCTCGGCAGGTGCCGCGTGTCCGGTAAAGGAAACTCTTACCAAAGCTCCCGCATTGGAAGATTGCCTAAACATTGTCGATTGTGACCTTCTAACGCCCGTTAACGAATGCTTGAATCTGCTCAGTGGCAAAAACAGTACAGCTGAAAGTCCTGCGAAGGAAAAACGCTACTCATCGGAGGACATCCATTCAGCCTTGATGAAGAACTCTTCCAGTGAGGACTATTCGGCTCCGCTGAGTGCTCCTCCGACGGTCACGACTCCTCGGTATGTCAAACCGTACGAGCTGTCGAAGACAATGGTCACGTCAACGCCAGATCAACAGAAACGACATTCGGCCGTTGGAACGCTTCCGATTCCGTGTGGACCACGCAGGTCGATCTATTCGGATGGGAAGTACCGCGGGGAAGCGATTCACTATGATGGCAACGTGATCGACATACTGTACACCATTTCGAACCAGACGCTTCCTTGCGGGAGGAAGGTCTACTGCATCTGGGTAAGCCGGGATCCGGATTCGTCGTACAACAACCTGGAGGATGAGGATAAGCATCAGAATCTGACGTTGACGTTCAACAGTGTGACCAGTACGGTGGACAATTCGCTTGGGCAGGCCATCAAGAATACTGCTGCTGCGCAGCACTCGGATCGGCCCAGTTCCGTCTCCCGTATGTCGCAGTGCGATGAAGATTTGATCCACGGAGAGTACAGCAAATATTACACGCTGGTGAGGCACATCGGGAAGGGCGCGTACGGGTATGTGAAGCTGAGCTACCGAAACTCGGATAGGTAAGTGTTGTTCTTGGGAATGGAATTGTGTTTTAGGTTTTTGGTTTTTGATAAATTCAACGCTTAACCAACAGGTTGCTGGTGATATCGAAGTTCATACTGAAGGAGAAGCTCGTGCCGCAGTTCATGATAACGACCGAGGAGAAGCGGGAAATTCCGATGGAAGTGTACCTGTTGACGCACGTGAAGCATCCGAACATTGTCAACATGTTCGATTGGTTCGAGAACGACAAGTTCTTCCAGGTTGTGATGGAAATACACGGCTCCGGGATGGATCTGTTCGAGTTTATCGATCGAAGACCCGTCATGACGGAGAAGCTGGGTTGTTGGATCTTTCGACAGATTGCTAATGCGGTTGCTTTCCTACACTCGTTGAACATTCTGCACCGGGACATCAAAGACGAGAACGTTATCATCGATCACAATTTCCATATCAAGCTGATTGACTTCGGATCGGCGACATTCGTGCAGGAAGGGCAACTTTTTTCTACCTTCTACGGCACGACCGAGTACTGCAGTCCGGAAGTGTTGGCAGGCAACCGCTACTCCGGTCCGGAACTGGAAATGTGGGCTCTCGGTGTGACGCTGTACGTGTTGATGTTCTTCGAGAACCCATTCGTGGACGTTGAGGAAATCCTGCAATCCGAACTGATCATTCCGCACGAAATCAGCGAAGAATTGGAGTACGTGTTGCTTTCGCTGTTGGACAAGAATCCCAAAACTCGGGTCACCATCCAGGAGTTACTGGATACGGAATGGATGACACAGGAGATTAATTCGTCGCAGTTCAATTTTGCCAAAATCGTCCCCTGCGAACCGTACGAAACCAACCCGGAGAAGTACTACGTAGATGCGAACATCTGTTCCAGTCAGACGGGACTGTCCACGTCGCCGCACAGCCTTTCGATGGTGGATGATGTCGATGGTGAAGATGATGATGAGCATGCCCACATGGATGATTCGTTCATGGATCCCGACGAGATGCTGGACGATGATATTTGTCCCCTGTCGCACGATGATGAGATTGGTCTCGATGGTAAGCAATTTCAAACTGCTGGGAGCGTACCAATTTTTCAGCCTTTTCTCCGTTTTCAGACGATATCTCCGGCAGAGAGATGAATATTCTTTCCACCGGTCTCACCAGTCTGTCTCTGAGGGAACCTGACGGAACGTGCATCAGTCTGGTCGATGGCGACCGGATTGGCCAACAATCAACAACAGGTAATAAAATGACCACCGGCTCGTTATTCTACTCGAGCAACACCGGTGGCAGTGGTTCAGTGTTTGTGTCGTCATCGTCGTCTCCCGTCGTTGGCGTTAGCGGTGTTGGTGTCCATCTTCTGTCCAACAGTACTAACAGTAGATCCGAGCCTTGTGGTCCCTCCATACTAACAGCGAAAGCATCTGCTACTACTTCTACTACCAATATTACTACTACTACTACTTCTACTACTACCACTACTTCCCGTAACATCATCTCCGCCCCAGTACCCATTTCCGCCAGTAGTTCGGCGAAGCTCGCCGGAGCCAATTATAGCAGCAACACTAGCGTCAATAGTAATACCAGTAACTCAGTTAGTACTAGCCATAGTAGATCGAAGCTCATTGAATGTGACAGTAGCAGTTGTTGTAGTACACAGACGGCAGCATCTTCGGCAGCACACTCACTGCCCATTCGGGCGGCCTATCAGCATCATCTCTCCACCACGACAATGACGCGGCACTCGTTCTGCGACGTAGACTGCCTACTAGTGGCACCACCACCGGTTAAGTGTACCTACTCGGTGCTGAACAGTAGCAGCAGCGCTAACACAATCAGTAGTTTGAACATAGAAGAAGACTATCCGTACGACAGTAGCAGTAGCACCCTAAACACCCCAACCAACTCTTCGCACTCGGCGGCCACCGGACGCATAGGTTCTCTCCCAACAGCAATGACCACCCTCAGTGATGGACCGCTTCTGTCCAAAACCCCATCCCCTCTGCAGCAGCAACGGCTCATCTTCCACGACGAATCTCCCCATCTGCTCCTCCTGGACACCTTCCCGTACGCGGCATCCTCTTCCTCGACCAGCCCTTGCAGTTCCCTCACATCATCCAAATCGGAGAACAACATCTTCGACGGAACGTTTGCCACGTTCAACTCCATCTATGACGTAGTCAGTTTGAATGATGTCAACGAAGCCAGCACATCCGGGATGTCTTTCCCGAGCTACGGCATGACCGATCTTTCCAGGGCGCAAATTTTGAACACCCTCTCCAGCACCGAACTGGACCTTCGGTTGGAGAAGAAATAGTGCGAATAATTGATCTAAATTCCACCAACGTTGAACGGTGTGGGGAGGTGGCATTTCAGCGCCAAGAGCTGGACTCTTGAGTTATTTGCTTTGCAAATTGCGCTTGGAATTGGTGGGATTTAGTTGATTGGAATGTACGATTACAACAAAAAGACTTTGATTTGTGAGTTTGTAGTCAGCGTGGCAAGCGGCAATCCATAGTTAGCTCAAAATCCTTTGCCACAAAGGCTGCAAGTGTGAAATATTTACTTAGTTCTAAATTGCTTAAAGATTTATCCTTTGAAAGGCTCGCAAAAAGCTGAGACAACCGGTGGGTCGTATGAATAGAAAGTAGTAATCTCTTGCATTTGTTTCATTTTGGCAAAATCAATGTGGGAATGGCTCAGTTCTTACTGGCCAGAAATTTCGCTTCCGAAACGAAACGACGAAAGGATTCTCCCGAAAGAAAAAGAAAATATCACACAGTACTTTGTTCTCAAAAACGGATTTTTACATTTCACAACACCAAAAACCTTCTGGGAAGCAAATGGTTAAGTCTTTCTATAATCTACTGAACAGTTCTGAAGTTCGCAGAACCTGTCTGAAGGAACATAAAAGGAGTTTACCCAATCTCTCAGAAGTTCTCCTAATCTGTCAGCTGCTTCCTGAATTTCTCAGAAGTTGTCTTAGAAGTTCAACCAGGTTCAGAGAAGCCTCAAAAAGACTTAGGGAAAGTCAAATGGAGAAGTTCAGCTGAATCTTAGACAAATTCAGGGTGCTCAGAGAACTTATAAAAGCTCAGTTCTCCTAATATCTCAGCAGCTCCCTAAATTTATCAGTAGTTCTCTTAGATCTTCTAGCGTGGAACTTTAGGAAAACCTTAGTAGAAGTTTACCAAACTTCAGAGAAGCTCATAGAACTTCAGAAAGGCTTAGGGAAAATCAAAGAAGTTTAAAAGACCGTCAAAGAAGTTCAGGGAAATCTTAGGTTTGTTCAAGGTTTTCAAATATAATTAGAAAACATCAGGAAACCTCAGTTCTCCTAATCTCTCCGTTGCCCCCTGAATTACTCAGAAGTTAGCTGGGAGGTTCTATCAGCTTGAAAAGTTGAATGTACTATCTACTGAAAACTTCAGTAAAATGGCAGGATACCTCAGGGCAACCTTAGAAAAAGATCAATGAACTTAAGAGAAGCCCAGAGCTCCAAGAGCCTTGGAAACCTCAAAATACATATGGAAATCAATGAAGTTTAAGAGAATCCCAGGGAAGTCCAGAAGGATGTTAGAGAAGTTCAGCGGAATCTTAGACAAGTTCAAGCTTCTCGAGTAACATTTGAAAAGGGCCTATCCTCGTTGATCGATTCTCTTCATCGACTTTCTCTTTGGTTTACCACGGATACATAAACGAATTTCTCGCTAAGCTCGCAGCACAGTTCGACAGAAGATAATGTTAGCTTGCGCCTGAAACAACACACTGAATGGAAAATTCATTTGAGAATCGATCAACAATGATAGGCCCTTTTCTCGTGTTGCGCGAGTGTTCGGAGACTTTTAGAGAATTTCTGAAAAAAAATTAATCAGTTCTCCTAATCTCTCAGTTGCTCTTTGAATTACTCAGAAGTTCTCTAAGAGCTCCAAGCACTGAGGGGAACTTCAGGAAACTGGCAGGAAAGCTCAGGGCAAGCTTAGTAAATGTTCAGTGTACTTAAACAAAAACTCATCGAATTTAAAAGAATCTCAGGGATCTTAAAAATAGTCCAGGGAACCTAAACATAACTTAGGGAAAGTCAACACAGTTTAGGAGAACCTTAGAGAAGTCCAGCAGAAAGTTAGATGAGTTTTAGCCAATCTTAGACAAATTCAGGCTGTCCAAAGAACTTCAGGGAATCTCAGTTCCACTAATCTCCCTGCTCCCACTCCCTGCATTTCTCAGAAGTTCACTTAGAAGTTTAAGCAACTTCAGATAAGCTTAGCGAACTACAGGAAACTTCAGTGAACCGTCGGAGAAGTGATTACTGCCCTTTTCAGCATAGTTGTCCCATTCGTTAAAACAGCAAGCTGAGAAAAACGCTGTTGAAGATTTTTTTTCTTCATGGGCTCTTATGGATGGGACAAAATAGTTCTGTTATTTTTCGCGACATTTTCTGAACAAAGTAGGATTTTTATCGTGTACATTGTAAAGTGATGGTACTTGACAATCGATTCCAATGTATAACTCATAATCGCCAAAAATGCTAATGGGACTGTTATGCCGCACAGGGCAGTGAATGGTGCTATTAATAAAAGTTCAGGGAACTTCAGAGACATTCAGCAAGCAGGAAACTTCAGGGAAACGTTAGGGAACTTAAAAAAACATGGACATGGATCTTAAGGCTAGCTTTTTCTAAGGCTTTAAGGGTGTTGAAGTGAAATAAATTAAAATCATTAGATTTTTTTTAGATCATTAGATTTCAAGCTATCACCAGAACGATCACCCCATCAACTTCAAATAATTTAGTCAATTCATTTTTGATCTGATCCAGGGATTCACCACTGGGCAGACCTTCAAGGCAACTTTGAACAGACGTTCAATTTTGGTGTCATGAATGAAAAATTTGTGCTGCTTCTCAGTAAGATATTGGAGAAGACGTTTGAATCAGTCCAAGGTTTCAGCCAATACACGGCGTTCATCCCGACGGCCAATTCGAATTGAAAACTTAAATTGAACGAAGTTCAAAAATTTCTTACGAAGAGCATGGAAAACGGAAGTGGTTATAGCAATAGGGGTTAATATTAAACTGCTTGCGAATGAAATGTCTCCAATTACATGAAAGATGAAAAATCTGTAGTGATCGGACACGGAATAAAGAACGATTAGTTACGAAATACTTAAAATCTTTATTTTTACTTTCAATAGAAAAACAACCACGTTCGCGCGTTGATAGCTGCGTAGCAAAGATTGACAGCTTGAGTTCTTTTTCTTCGACGACGACCCGATGGAAGCCAGGCTGACCAGTGTTGCCGGGCGATGCCACAGGGCCCCTCCAGTTACACCAAAAATCTTACGCGATGTCCAGATTGTGTAACTTTCGTACGATGATCATCTTGAGGATATTTCTGCAAATCCGGATTACAAGTGAAAGCCGCTTTTATTCGGTCGACTGAAATGCGCTGCTGTTTTCCAGAAATAAGTACGTCGAAGAACTTATCATCTCGTCTTATTACCTTGAATGGACCTTCATAAGGATGCTGCAACGGTCGCTTCACAGAATCCACTCGTACAAATACATGTGTACATGTTTTGAAATTTTCGTTGACAAAAACTTGTCGTTCTCCATGACGTTTAGTATCGTGCGGTTTTATATTGTCGAACGTACGGTGAAGCATTTGGGCAAACTCCGATCGGTCGATATCTCCAGGTGCAGACTGAAAGAATTCACCAGGAATCCGTAAAGCCTGACCGTAAACCATATCCGCAACCGAGCACTGCAGGTCGTCCCTAAATGCCACCCTTAGTCCCAGAAGAATCATTGGAAGTTCGTCGTACCAATTCTTAGAGTTTACACACATTATCGATGCTTTCAATGTTCGGTGAAAACGTTCTACGATGCCGTTCGCTTGTGGGTGATAGGCATTCGTACGAATATGGAAACACCTAACATTCGCGTTAACTCCCGAAAGAGATCGGACTCAAATTGCCGTCCCTGGTCGGTTGTCAGGTTTTCTGGGACTCCAAATCTTGCTATCCATGTTGAGTACAGTGCTTGAGCCACAGATGCTGCAGTCATATCGACAAGTGGAACCGCTTCGGGCCATCTGGTAAAACGGTCAATCATGGTCAGTAGGTAGCGGTATCCTTGTGACGGCGGCAAAGGACCAACCAGATCAATATGAAGGTGTTGGAAACGAGCCTTCGGTAGGTCAAATTTTCCCAACGGAGAGACGGTATGTCGATGCACCTTCGACCG